TATATAGCAACAAAACAAGTAAACCCTTGCAGTGCAAGTTTTAAATAGCTGGAGTTCCCCTTTATTAAAAAAAGTTTGCATGTTACCATAAAAATCTGCTATTGCAGAAAGGGGAAAACCCTAAAATATAGACGTTACATTCCCCCCATCTACCATATCAACATGGTGGACAGATGCGCTGCACAGGTGTAAATGGGCCCCCCAGAAGCCAGGCATGAATGGGCAGGAAACCCAGTCTGGCACACTTACCTTCTCTGCCTGAGCCTCCAAGGACTTCAGGTTGTTGGTGACATTCTTGAGCTCCTCCTCAAGCTCAGAACATTTGCTGAGGAGTGACAGAGGGCAAAGAATAGGAAAAGGTGGAAAAGGAAGAAAGAGATAGAGAGATGAGGATTCATATCACAAGAAGAAAGTTCAGAGGCTCCTCACTGCCTGCACTGCAACCATAGTTTGTGTTTCAAAATTTCCATAGCATCATCATACAGTGTCGCTTCTGCTTTGTCTTAACAGAGCTCTGAGGAAACGCAGCCTCTGCTAATCGGCTGGAGATTGTGACAGAGCAGGAAGTGAGAAGACAGACCACAGCAGACGTGAGGGACAGGACAGAGGGAGAGAAGGAAGCAGCCTGGAGGAGACCATTTCAGTACCTTTTCATCAGATGCATTCAAACACTTGAGGTTCTGGTCCAATAATCGGGTCTGCTCCTCCAGCTCGCGGGCCCGGCTGGGTTAGCGGTTGCAGGATGCGGATGGGGGTGGGTAGTGGAAGGACAGAGGGGGGGCGGTTGGCCACAACACACGGGACAAAGCCGAAGAGATGGAACAGAAGGGACAGGAAGGGCAAAAACAAAACCATCAAATTCAAGTCATGCAAATGGAGACAGAAGTTACACAAGGCCTGAAACTCTATGCAATGTTCTAGGAACCAAGGGATGGATACAACTACTTTATCTCCATTCTTTAAAAGTGCTTTTCTGGCCCCATCTACTTCATGTGCTGGCATGATTGATCGGTCAATACATGGAGCACTTAATTTAACTGTACGGCATGGACTACCACAGTGCAGGTCACAAATCTCAGGAGAGTATGCATGGGAAGGTCAAGATAATAAAGTGCATCTATAAGTATCCTATAAGCACAGAACAGCCTAAAGCAGTACAATGTAAAATGCCTAGCGAAGCCTCAACAGGCCTTTAAACCAGCAGTGGACACCTTTCTAGATACAGGGGGGCCTCAACTGCAGCCCCTGACATTCCCAGGGGGGCCACATTTAATTTTCAATACAAGTAGTGCTACAGAAGATGATCAGACTGCTAGCTAGAGATGGTCAAAGATGGGGACATGGCACAAGTGTGGCTGAAGGCCGGAAATATGCTAAGGGAGACTAATAGAAACTGGGGAACGGTTACATGAGGCTGGTGAAGATTGCCATAATAGCCCCTTCACAAATCAAGGCTTTAACTCCAGGCTGCTCTGGCCCAAGGGCTTCAAAAGGACCAAAGGGGCCACAGGCCTTTAAATGCTCTCCAGTCTGATGTCCTGAATGCCAGGGTGATGCACCATGCTAATCTAGTCACCTTCTGATGGTGTGCAGAGATTTCCCACCTCATACATTCCCATGGGCCCATCACCATTAGGTTAGATTTATTTGGCTAACAGAGGTGGGGGACAAGGGCAGACTCCCAGTACTATCCAGAAGTAATGAAATTTAAATCACCATGGGATTCAGGGCAGGAGAGGGCATATAAATGCATATGCAGTCCCTGCTAGGGGTGTGCGGTGCAGTAGCCTGCTCTGTGCCATTACGGTATCAGATTTGCATTAGGTCTGCCAACATAACTGAATTACCTGTTGAGTACATGATCAGGTCAATTGAAAGAACTTTGCAAGTACGTAAATAGGAGGTGTAGAATACATGATTTAGTGAAAGGTACACAGCATTTTAAAGGCAACAGGCTACCCTGACTTACAGCCAGGATCTGAATACGGCCACCAGGGGGCAGTCAGCTCATCCTACTGATCTATTCAGGCCTTGTGTAACAAAGGGCAAACAATGCACTGGGATCGGAAGGGGTTGGATACTCACGCCTCTGCCAGCTCTGCCCTCTCCTCTGTGCGTTCCAGATCACCCTCTATGATTACCAGTTTTCGGGCCACCTGCAAGATAAGTACAGGATAGTAAGGGAACCAGCTAACTAGGTATTACTGATTTAATCAGAAATGGCAAACACAGAATAACTTGTAAGAAGCAGACATGCAGCAGAACTCCAAAAAATAGAAAAAAATGTTAGTATAAATATGGCTTGCATAACTGCCATAAGTCAGCATGGGAAGTTCTGCACTCAGGTTCTATTGCACTGTACAGCTATTTCCATATAACATTATCCAGGCACTAGCAGCTAAATGTGAATGCAACACTGCAGGCTATGTTGTATCAGAGGTTCGTAAATTACAAGAGGCGATGAACAGAACTACAAATAGTTTTGCAGCTGGGTAACCCCTCAGACCTCTGGCTGCAGAAAGGAACCATCACCACATTAGGGGTCCTCACCTCTTCATACTTCCTGTCTGCTTCCTCCGCTATGTGTTTGGCTTCCTTCAGCTGGATTTCTTGCAGTTCCATCTTCTCTTCATCTTTGAGTGCTCTGTTTTCTATGACCTTCATCCCTCTGGGAAAGAAAACAAATCCTTCAGATTAGCGATAGCTCAAAGCAATGGTGGACAGCTTGCATGATATTTGGGGCCTCAAGTGCGGCTCCCTATATCTAAGGGCCGCACAAAATATATTTAGTGAATCTTATGCAACAGAAAGCTGTCAGTCTGCAGACTTGCAGCGGGAGATGGTCCGGGACTATGGCTAGGATACAAGAATGAATCAAACTGCAGACAAGCTCCAGAGATGAAGACTACAGGCATTAGACATGAGACATCAGAGACTGCAGACATGATACCTGAGAATCACAGACTGAAAATGTATAGCAGTTGCTGGACACTGCAGACATGTAAGTAGACTGTCAGACTGCGGAAAGGTTACAAGAGACTGCTATTACAGTCCCTTTACAAATCAATGCGTCCATATTTGTGGTCAGCACAGCACCCTAAGAAATTACGTGTGCCACATTCTCTCTTATTATAGTGAAGTTAAATCTGGGTTATAAGCACCATAAGGGGTCATACATTGCCTTAAGTTGTGGAAGAATCCTCTCTATTAGACCCACTGGAAAACCTCCAAATCCAGGGTATTGGGTGCATTCCCACCCAACTGACAGAACTGGGCCCAAGCAGTCATATGAACGCTTGGCTAAGGCTACGCATATACCGACTAAGAAATGCTATCTATGCATATTTCAGTGGTGCTTTTTAAAACACAAGTCACCCTATGATGTCTACTTCACAGCTCCAGGTTTCATTTTTGGGAATATGTTCTATTTAAAGTACATTTGGTTTATCCTAAAAGAAACCTGCAGTGAGAAAAGCAGTTTACTGTTGTACTCATTATGAAAATACAAACATACCTGCCCGTCACTGGCCTCTCAGACCGGAGCAAGCACCCCATCATGAAAGGCAAAACCCTGCTATGAATTCTTCCAGGTCACCGACTTAGACACTTGGATCTATGAGATGGCCAGAGAACCAGCATTTCTAGGACTCTGCTCAAAATGAAAAGCACCTAGGGGTCATATGACAGTCAGTTAAAGTCACATGATCCTGAACTGGAGAAGCCTTTTAACCACCACAGTAAAACCTCAATCTGGGCACATCTTCAGGCCACCAATGTGAGTAGAACCAGCATTAATAGATACCAATGGTTAGCAAACAAGCTTCACACTATTTGCCAAGATCTTAAAGCACATTATGAATTCTATGAAACCGATTAAGGATTGTTCCCAGCAGAAGCAGGACGTGAGAAAAATGCAATGCAGCGTGCCAACAAAAGCCAAGAGCCGGGAACGGCCGTGACGGCATGTTTGGGTATGTGAAGGAATGCTGCGCAGGGCAATTTTTGCAACAAAACTGGCACGATGCAGCTTGTAGACCTGTGAGATTTTAATCAAAAAGAGTAATAAAAAAAGCGGAGCTGACAAAAGCTGCAGGCGAACACAATTGCTCGTGCGAAGTCACAGTAAAATGCATCACTTAAGAACCCAACATGTTCAGATGTGTTGGAAACGCAGTAAAACAACTGGTTTAGCTGCAGTTTAGATCTCAAGCACAGAATGACATCAGTGGATTTCAAAACCAGTTCTTGAGCCGCTGACAGCGGATTAAGGGGTATGCATGCTTCAAAGGGGCTAGAAAAAAAATAAATCACTGCACAGATCTTATGCTCTTATCTGTCTTACTCAACACACTGGATGAGAGCAGACAGACAGGCGGAGCAGAGGCCTCGGCAGCCATGTGGCTCTGAGAAGGAGCTGCATATGCAGACTTCAATTCCGATGCCGGCACGCAATGTGGTG